CGTCCCCCCAGCGCCCATCCCCTCTGAGCACGGTGGCTCAGCTGGGTTCCCTGGGGCGCAGCCGTGCTGCCTCGCACAGTACGCCTCTGCAGCGTGGCCCGGCGGTGGGGCATGCTCAACCACGGCTAACGGTAACGGTTGTGCAAGTAGCCATCGCACGTGGGCAGAGACCAAACGCACCCCGGGTGGGACAGTAACGCGCTGTCCCTTTGGACGCGCAGGCCTTCATGGGCTGATCGTTTTTGAATATGTTGACTGTCTAAGGCCGGGGGTAGGTGTGTACTGGTACAGTGGGGATGGGGGTCATGTAAGTAGATAAGACCGACAGATTCCAGCCAGGGAGACGCCATTCCTTCTCAACCAGCGGTGGAGAATAAGGGGCATGTGCGCCGGACGTGGTTGCCAGGGTTAGCCTTGATGTGCTTTATTTACCTGTGCATCCGCAGGTACAGCCGCCAGCAGTCCCCGTTGGCCATGGATCACCCTTTCCGGCCCATGGGAGCTGCAGGAAGTGGCATGGACCGAAACACCACCTCCTGCAGCTCCCACGGCCAATGGGAGCTGCGAGCCAACGTCCACGCAGGTAAATCAAGTATGTGGCAACCTGCCAGGCGCTAAACCTGGTGAACCGTGTCCGGCTGGCTTATTGCCCACCCCTGTTCTGATCTCTGAGTGACACTTCCAAACCCCGCCCAGATGTTGCTGACCCTGCTGTTGAGGTGGCCATTGATGGAGATGAACGGGAGGCTGCGTCTGGTGGGAAGTGAAGTTGGCCTGTGGAATCATCACCGAAGGGGTGAATACGGGAGAAGGAGCCGGAACCCTGACTGTGCTACATGTAATCGGCTGCATCTGCAAAGGAGGAGGCAGCATCTGCTGTTCTGGAACAAAGCTGGAAACGGGAGGAAAATAAAACACTACTGGATGATAAACAGTGACTCAGCATGACACCGCCGCGCCCGAGAACGGCTCGGATCAAACACACCACGACGTCCTTCGCGACGCCAAAGGCGCTCTGGGAAAACGGCCCGGGAAATGTACCAGGCGCACCGCAAAAATCTCGCCCGTCCTTTATCAGCGTGATGATGCGGCCAGTGGCATTCCACACGAGGGGCGGATGTGGAGAAGCTGAAGGCTTTGCTGGTTGTTCCCCGCCCCCGAAACCAGGAGCCTCGTGACCAGGGCGGCGGGCGTGAGAGGCAAGGGAAGGGGTTGCCTTCCCAAATTGCCAGCTGTGGTCCCGCCTGCACTCCGCCCCCAGCGTCTGTGCTGTGCTGAGCTGGAGGAGTGAGCCCTGCATGTGCTCCGGGGCAGGAGAGAGGGGATGCCTGCCCTCCCTGTGCTCTAGGGCCGGGGAGGCTCACGCAGGAGGCTGGAGGCCTGCCCCAGCACTGGGGAGTAGGCCTGGGTCCTGTGGGGGCTCGGGGAGAAGGGGTGGGGATGGAGGCTTCCCTCCCTTAGCGTCACTCACCAGCTTCAGCCATTCACAGATTCCAAGACCAGATGGGACCGGTGTGCTCATGTGCTCACCTGTGTCGCGCAGGCCCCAGAACGGCCCCAAATAATCCCCAGGGCCGCTCGAGTGGGAAAAGATCCCGTCAGCGATGGAGAATCCGCTCTGACCCTGGGTAAACTGTGCCTACGGCTGAGCCATCCGGATGGATCACAGATGTTCCAGGACCGGAGTCCCAGTGGAGGGCTGCTGACTGGGCTTCCTGGCTTAGCAGGGAAGGTGATGGGAGGAGACTGGCAGGGCAGCAGTCCAGGGCTGGGAGGGAGGCTGGTAGCAGGGGGGCCAGATACGACCTCCCCTGGTCCAGCAAAATCCCTCATCCGGGACCAGTCAGGTCCCGAGGGTGCCAGACCAGGGAGGTCCAACCTGTACTCTACATTTAAAATGCAGCCATATTTCCTATGTAGATGTGTCTAGCATTCAACTCCCAGCCAGTGGATGGTGTCAGACCTTTCCCTGCTAGACTGAAGAGCCAATTATTAAATGTTTGTCCTTTTTAGCCTGTCATCAGTCCCCCCTTCACCTTCTCTTTAAGCTCAATAAACAGCTCTTTGATCAATGAAACAACCCCAGCTGTTGGTGTCCTTAGACCAGTGGTCCCCAACCTTTAGAGGCTCCCGGGGGTGGGGCCACTCATGTGCTGGGTGCTTGGGGGCGGGGCTGCACCTCCGGGGGCACGCCAGGGGACGGGGATGCCCTTGCACCCAGCGCCGGCGCC